TCGCAATGTTACGAATTATACTTCTCCCAGGAGGCGAAGGTGGTGTAGTGACAAGTGGCGCGCTTACCACTCGAGCGGCGTCGGATTCGAATCCCTGGTCGACACCAGCGCAGGCTAACCAAGCCTTCTACCCTCCGGGGACGGTAAATTGGTACCAGATTCGTCTGGGAGGATAAAAGCTGACTTGTACATCGGCCACCGCAAGTCATTGTATAGGCCACATCGCATTCAATAAGCCACTACGATTCTGAATGGAAGTAGAGTGCGCGCCGCATCCCACAAAGGGATTGATCAACGGCAAAGACTTTATCCTTTTTATCCTTTTATACTTCTCCCCATCTTGTCCGTCTGGACCCTCGCAGCCACGACCACTGGTGCCTAACACCACGTCTGCGAGAGGGTGGAGACAAGCAGACATGGGTGACTACTCCTCGCTGTTGTGCTCATTGTGCTGCGCTGTGCTCTGTTCATTTCTACAAATCTGACACAAAACTGTTGGCACACTCATTGTACAATCTAGATCCCTTCTTTGAAGTGAAAGTCAACCATAACAGACTTGCAATTGTAATTACTGTAATTACTTCAGTTGTAATTACTTCTACCGACCTCTATCCACTGATCTTTTGACGGACTAGCTAGGACGACAGATTTCTTCCCCAAATGAAGCGTGAAAGCATCATCACGTTCTCCAATAACGTTGTATGAGTCGCCGTCTTCGACCTGTAACAACTAGATAGGACTAAAAAAATTAAGCCGAATTGATCAATAAGTGGGGTGGTAAAATTTACGGTGCAAGTCTTCGGTTAGATAACAGTAAGGCAGCCTTCAGACTTCGCGACGGCGCGCTTCTGTCGCGCGTTGGACGCCATCGATGCAGTCGAAAGCGTGCGCATCGATCGCGTCGAACGCGCGACTGAAGCGCTGCCGTCGCGAAGTATAAACGCTGCCTAAGGGGTTGGGCGCAAACGTAGTTGGAGGCATACGCACCGCACTATGTGGCCAGAGCTCTCGTTGACCGCAGTCTCTCGAGCCTGAGCCTGGAGGCAGGGATCCTTATCTCAGTGAGCAAAAAAGCCCAAAAGCATCACCGTTGTCGTCCCACAGTCAAGGCGTGGGCCCCTCCAAGTGCTGTAGCACCAGATGTTGAGAGGTCGTCTGGGTTGGACCAAAGGCATAAGCTTAGGAAAAGTGTCAATAAAAATCCAAGGAAGGTCACAAACCAGAAGTCCTTTCAGCTTCAGCTCGAGGTTGATCGCAAATGGGGTTTCTTGTGAACGATGAGCAAGTAGAACTTCGTCACTGAACAAAAGCAACATCCTGGGCGAAAGCCCCCTCTGTGACCAACGTTGAACCCATCCGAATCGCAGTAACCGCTGAATCAAGAATATTCTAACTGGTAAAAAAAAACTATAGATACTGTTAGAATCGGGACACTCTGCACCCAATTGCGCTGCGTATGAAGGAGCGTGTCAGGTGGTAGCGCCAAACACGTTCTCTGCCAGTTGTTGAAGGGTGCACGCGATAATAATTGATAGAAAACGGGTGATACGAAGGATATGATGGGGTCTTGTCGTCTGCTCGCTTCAAACAGGTGGACAAGGGTGCACGCGATAATAATTGATAGAAAACGGGTGATACGAAGGATATGATAGGGTCTTGTCGTCTGCTCGCTTCAAACAGGTGGACAAGGGTGCACGCGATAATAATTGATAGAAAACGGGTGATACGAAGGATATGATAGGGTCTTGTCGTCTGCTCGCTTCAAACAGGTGGACAGCGGCTTTGGCATCACCCAAGCTCATTCAGCCCGACACGCCCTTTCGTCTGCAGCGAGTTAGAGTGTACACAATGTTTTGAAACAAACTGATGCAATTCTGACCCCTCGCTTTGCACACTCTGAACATAAGGAGAAACTATATAGCCATGTTTGCTGCCGACGCTGAGCCATGTCAGCGAGGCTGGGTTTGGCGCATAGCCAGCCCGTTTTCCGCCAATTGCTGAAGCGGGTACCGACAGAATGGTGAAAAACGAGCTGGCGCCAAACCCAGACATCCCGACACGCCCCAGCATCCGCAGCGAACATGATTGTAAAGAGAGGCGCATCTCTTGGAATAATTAGGCAACGTCCAAGAACGTTCTGAAAGAAAAGGTACGAAGCTTTGAGAACAAAGAAGTCGAAAGGCGAAGGTGTTAAAGTTTAGTCCGGAGTTTACGATACTAAGGCTTGCAGAGAGGCAAACATATCAGAGTTAAGCTTTGCTATTCTAAGGGTCAAGCGGCTGCAAACGTATCCCAAGTCTGGATTACAGTCTCTCAGCGATTTTTATGGAATTCTAATGCATGGCCCATTTTTCCCATGCAGACTCATCTGTAAGAGCTGCATTGCTGTCTAGAAGCAACATACTCTATTTGGCTGCGTCAGGAGACCCTGGGTGCCAGTGTCAAACTCCAACTGTAGAAGCGCGACGAATTCCGTAATTGCTTCGCGTTGCTTTCGTGTGTTGTCAGCGAATCGAGCGATCTTCTCCAAGGCAACCCGGATTGGACCAAAATCCGTGTCGTTGATCCCTTCGAAAAGCTGCCACTCAACCAATCGTGTTAGAATCTGAACAAGTTGAGCATTTATAAATCGATCAATTGAGCATAATATTTAAAGTTCATCAAGGTTACCGGCCGCCAAGCTACTATTCGGTTCAGAATCTTCAGAAGAATCCAGTTTAGAGGTATATAACATTGACTTGATTCTTCGAATTTCCTAAACATTCGTTGATCGTTTAAGACATAGTGCAGATTGATCGTGTGGGCGGGGTCAGGTGTATTACTGTGTTTTCCACTGTTACACTATTACAGGCCCCCTCCCATCATGATGATATCAGGAAAGCGCGTACCAGTAGGAGAGACACGGTGGTAGGCCTGACTCCGCCCATGTGGTCAGCGTGGGATTTGCTTTGAAAAAAAATCTATTAAGAATGCTGGAAAATAAAACAAATAGTAAAGACTATACAATGAATAGTGAAAATAACCATAATAGTAGATAATACTATGTAATAAAAATAGATAATGGTTTGAAGGTCACGGAAGGAGTAATATACAGAGAAAGGTCTAGGTCACATGGCTTTGCACACTGCTCTGTAAGAAAGAGTATTGGTCGCTATCAGGCTTGAAGGGGCATTTTGCAGTGGCGCTAATACTTTTTTTAGCTCGTGGTAAATGACAGATCTAGTTCTTGAGACCTTTGAACTGCTGTAAAGCTTACAAATGGATGGTGTGAGTAACTTCGATAGCAGAACTGTGCAGGTCTTCATGAGGTGGCCTGTAATAACACAGCTGAGTACCACTCAGGGCCCCCACCAAAGCGAACTGGACGGAGTTTTGTGCATGGACTCCGCAAATTAACGTCCAACCGTTCTATGGGTAGAAATGGGTGTTGCACAAGTGAATGCTCTGGACCAGGAATGCTTCTCTTGTACTCCTACCATTTTCTTGTTTTGTTGCAGCTCATGCAGCGTCTCACCCCTTGACGAACGGGCCAAAAACTCCACTGAAAGGAGGAAGTACTTAATTTCTGAGGATCCGGTTAGAAAACTTTTACTGCAGACGAAAGTGGTGAAGAATGCTCAGGACTCGAATAACCCTCCGTCGGATATGTGATAGGCCAATAGTATTGTGACGCGGCGGTGGCGACGTCGCGCTCGACGGACCAGAGTTATCCTGCCCGGTTGTTTGAAAATGAGTGGTAAAGTATCGGGTGGATTCGGTATCGCCTATGACGAAGCCTTGTCTCCGCTTCAACTCATACCAGTTTCGCTGCTTCAATCTATAAATTGATGCTCATCGAGAATTCGCCGCACACAGCCGTACGATGCGCCGCGTGCGACGAAAAGCGATTGTCTTGTCCCTATTTATGAAATATGCCCTCCAGTTGTGTAATGGTGTATTTGCTTGAGCGATAATTAAAGCGAAAAAGAGGGTTTGAAAAACTCCAACTTCAGTTACTGGTACATATTTCACAGAAACTTCGACATGGAAAACAGTAAGTTACCTGATCTCATTTCGAAACTCGGCGTTACTCTTGGTGAGTTGATCAAGTGCTGCAATATAGATGGGATACTGCTCCAGTAGTGTTGTGTAGGCTGGCAACGCATTATGAGTCATACACAGCACTCTTTGAGAGAGCTGTGATATATTCCTGGAAGTGAGTTTGATTTTATAGGACCCTTATTACACCCCGATAAGGAAGGAAATGGAGAGAAGAAGAGGAGCTTGCTAATGCAATCCTGTAGCAAAGAGGTATTTGTTCAAAAATTAATTGCCCTGGACAAAGTTTCTAAGTTGGGGCTACGCGCAGCAAGGGGGGCTGTTGAGCGTCGGCATTGCGTGGGCGGCATTCGCTCCGAGGCTAGCAGGTTTGATGTCAGAGTGTTACAGAAAGTAGAGCGAATCAGCTTGGAAAAGTTCCGTCTAGCCAGTTGCTGCACCTCTCCGCCGCTCGAACCTCTTAACACACACACTAATAAATCAAAAATATCATGTGATAAAACCTACTCGGCACTGCTGATCTCTTCTAGGAATGAAGCCTGAGACTCCTTCAGATCCTTCAGCTTTTTCGACAGTTCCATGACTACACCAGAGCTTTCCAAGAGTGGCTCCATCAAGTGCGGTAGGTTCTGAAATTTATATCCGTTACGAAGTTACTGGATAATAGGAACCTAAAAGACCAGGGCGATAGCATAAGTGCAATTAAAAATGCCTTTCCCTCAAAATCAGGAAGACCCCGGAAACAAACAGCTCTCACCCTGCAAACGATAGGGCGTGGATTGAAGCGCAGTCTCGGCGACCCTTCCACCAATAATGCTATACTAAGCACTTAGCAATTTGTAGAAAAGGCTCCCTTGGCTGCGATCCAATGCAGGCCCCCTCAAACGCCCTCTTGCTTGCAGAGATGAAGACTGCATGTATAAAATGACTCGTATCTGAAATTCAAAAGTGAAATTCACCTCGCACACTAAACGAAAATCTCTGGCAGCGCTGCGCTCATGATCAAGGAGGTCCTCGCGTATTTGGTAGCACATGTCGGAGATAACATTCTGAACAATAAGGTTTCGAAGTGTAAAATAAATATATAATAGATAGGTATAGTTGATATCGTCGCAATCAGTCGGGGCGGTTCCAAGAGGGATGAAATTAACCCACTCGCTGCTTTTCCATCAGTGGCTTCCTTTCGGTCCTACAGACAACTTGAACTCAATTCCCTCGCACGCTAACGAATTTGTGTTTCTCTTTATCTGCTCTCTCTCTTTCTCTCACTCTCTCTTCCGCATGGCACTCCATGGTCATTGTGCCTTCGCACATTCCTGCGTTTCACGTATGATGAGTGGCTCATCCACCCCGGCGTCCCCTCTCCTTGGGAAGCTCGATCTCTGGTTCATATCACGTAACTCTTCCTTTCGTCATCAAAACTCAAGGGATCTTCATTGGTAGAGCGGTAGCCGGAGGTTGGCTCATCCCGCCCCTCCTGACACCGCCCCGACTGATCGCGACGATAACAGCTGCAAATATGTGCGCAAAGGAGGCGTCGAAGTCCTAATGATTATTCAGTTTTACATTATTGTCATTGTCGCCATTACTTAAGTAATTCTACAACCTCTTTATTGCCGTTCGCCGCGTCCTCCATTTCAGGAAATACTACGGACAATTCTGGCCATGTCTCGTAGTCGAGCTTGCTGTCAGCGATAGAACCCGAGACGGTCATCTTTGGAGAAGTCATGGAGGTGTCTTAAATGAGAATAGTGATTGATTTCTGATTTCTGTTCAATTTAAGGCCGAAACAAAGAATACCTTTTGAATACACGGTTCCCCCTAAGGATTCGCTGCCGCTATCACTCGAATCGCAACGATCGAAAAGTCGATGAGAGGTACTCGAATTGAGGCTCGCACTAGTTTCGGCTCTTTAAATAAAAATTGCAGTAAAGTAAAGTAAACAGTAACAATAATAATGTAGTGAGTAAGAAAAGGAAAGCCATTAGTAGCAGGAAGTAGTAAATAGTAGTAAAAAGGAAAACGATTGAGGAAGTGCTTCTTTCGCAAACTTGGAAATAATTTTTTCGTTCCTCCCTTTGGAAGAACTTATGGGAAGCAGGTGAGTACCATGAAAAAAGTCCGAAATTTCGAAACTGTTCACTGAAATAATCTAAAGGTGGAAATCAGAAAGCAAAGCGACCCCTGTACTGACTTAAGGAGCTAGCCAATATACAATTCAGCGTTTTTATCTTTCCAGACGACTCTAAAACCAATTTGACGTTCTCGGAGGAGAGGAGGATTGGCCGGCCTGGATGCGCGCCGTTCCAGGATTTGATACCCGGACCGGGCTAATGCCGTTTGGACTCCAGCAATTTCGGCACCAAGCTCATTTTTGAATTGCCTAAGTCACCAAGTCCGCTAAAAACTTGTATTTAGGGGTAGTTTAACATCCTGATTACGAATGTGACATTTCTTGCCGGTGGCGCTAATGGATGACACTACGATTATCTGCGCCCTGAGCCCAAGAGGTAATCGTAGTGTCATCCCTTGGCGCCAGCGCCAAGAATGAGGGTCATAATGGTAATGACGATGGTAAATAACCCTTGTGTACATGTTTCCGGCGGGATTGGTGACTCAGGCAATTAAAAATGAGCTCGGTGCCAAAATTGCTGGAGTCCAAACGGCTAGCCCGCGGACCGCGTGCCTGGTGAGCGGGTCACTTCCAACTCCAATATTTCCGCCACCATATAGCTACATGTAGTGAAATGAAATGATAGGGGTGGAGACCGACATTTGGGGCGAAGCTCGACAACCGTGAGAAATCCCTAACACTCATTACACTTCTCAGCTGCAAAGAGGCAAATCCTCTGGCAGCAGCGGACCGTGCCACCTCGTTCGAGAAAAGTTATCCATGTAAGATCAGGTGATCCCAGACCGTACCTTCAAGTATTTGAATACCCAATAATGTTACTCGGTTTCCGAAGTTTAGCCTTTTCTGCCATGAATTTTGTTTCAGTGCCAGAAAATTTAACCTTGAACTGTTTCAGTTCATAAATTAGTACAGCTTTCTAAATTTCAATTCATTTAGGATTCGCTTTCAAAAAAAGTAAGAAAACGACTGCAAAAACGATTTCCATGCAATGTTTGAGCTTAGCTATTCATGAAAACACCCTGGCTCACTTACTTTCTAGGCAACTGGTAAATATCCGACTTGATGGCACCATCTGACGAGAATGTGGAGTTCACGCCGTAGATGGTTTTCTTGCTGAACGACGATCGACCAAGATCTAAAAGTGCGCTATCGGTGGTATACAATTGATATCTTCATAATCAATCGGGGCGGTGCCAGTAGGCATGAATAATCCTACTTGCCACTTGCTGAGCACTGATTGGCTTTCTGCTGAATCGAACACTGACCCATCGCTATTGGTAATGCAAGATCGGTGGAGGTGGGACAGGCTCATTCTGACCCTCCTAGTACCGAATTAACGTGATTGTGTCGTTATCAACTACATGCGTTAGAAGCAGGGCACGAAATCGCGTTGTGATCATTTTCTGAAAATTACGACCCCCCCTAATTCCATACTATACGACCCCCCTTCTTGGGAGTTGGTACGACCCCCCCCCCTCCCAGCCCTCTGTCCTTCCTCATCGAACCGAGCCGTCGAGCGGGGGAGGGGGGGGGTCAGAATTAAACTATCATTTTCAAGTGTCGGAAAGATAGTGCGTCCGTGAAGTGACCAAATACGACCCCCCATATGACCAAGTACGACCCCTCCCCCCTTTACAGCGTCCGCGAAACAAGAGAAATCAACTATCAAAAAAAATTTTTCTCTGACCAAATACGACCCTCCCTCCCAAAAATGACCACGTACGACCCTCCCCCCTTTACAGCGTCCGTGAAACAAGAGAAATCAACTATCAAAAAAATCTTCTCTGACCAAATACGACCCCCCTCCCTCGCGGTGATCACAACGATGGCGTACCCTGGTTAGAAGACGCCCATTAAGAAAGCAGAACTGCGTGGGAACGGAATCACCACACCTTCCCTGTTGCTACTTGGCACAACTGGTCCATTCTATTGACTTTGGAAAGTACTACATGCTGTTTGCACCAGAAATCTCATACCATGAGAACTGTACGAACACCATTCAAAGAAACTTCGGACGAAAGCAGCTAAACCAAACTGAATACTTACACAGTTGTAGTGAAGGTGTGAGAACTGGTGTTAGGTAGGAAAGGAAAACAAGGCTGTCGAAGGACATTTCCATTTCCTACTCAATCGACTGGGAGTTGAATGAGTGTGAAACTTGCAGGGGGTGATTAATGTGAAGGGCTCTGTTCCCATCTTATGTGGAAAAACTCTCTCAAATCTGAGGGTACATGCTGAGGAAAGGCAAGGCGACTTTTCTGTTTTACACTTTTCTATTCTTCGGCAACCCCAGTGCCCTCCTTCCCCTCGCTCGGGCATTTCGCGCCAGGACCTGCGTCTGTTCTCCTAGGCAGCATCATCTGGAGCAGACGTTGTGCACTTATTTCACAGTGTATTTCAAATATGAATTGCGCATTATTGCAACATAAATTTCATCTCATTATTTCACCTATGAACTAGTGAATCCCCTCAATATGAAGTGCACTTCCCCCTAGGCGGTCCAATAGCACCTCTTCTCGTTATGTCTTACTATATTTCTTAATTAACATTTACGTAGTTCAAGCTTGTCCACTGTGCCCTAAAATTCGCCGTTTAGCATGGGAAGGGGTGGATACCTGTGATCAACTCTCACAAATTATGCTGTGCTCTGGCCGCGCTGGTCCAGAAGAATTCAGAGAAAACGTTGAGGCGTTGCAAATCTGTGCAGCGCAGATGTTCGGTATGATCCTTTTCGGAATTGTCCTGGCCCCAAAAATTAGGTCTTTAGCTGATAGCCTACAGGAGCTGTGTTGTACGGAATTACCATACCGTTGGCATTCGCTACTTCCATGAATCACTAAGCAGATTTAAGGGCAGGTTTAGCGGCAAGTCGTCGAGGAGCTCGCAGGTATCGCGGTTGGAAATCAGACGTAACCTTGCGCCTTTGGTACCTTTACCTCGCATATTTCTGACGCAAAACTAGTGCAGCGCTGGCACTTGCAGCCATGCTACCTTTCCCACAAAAATCTTCGATTCTTGTTTCTGATCGATGAGCACCCCCTTGACAGCTACTATTTTTCTTGTCATGGGTAACATCACAGCGCGATTCACTTCTCTGAGATATTAGGTTGTGCGGAAAGTTCTCAGCGTTTCGGGCTACTATTTTTTGTACATTTCCAATTAAAAACTCATCCTCCCTTGCGTCTCAGTAGTAGATGCTGAAGAGGATTTCTTGCGCTATCTGATGGTATAATTGCCGTTTCACCATTGCTTGATAAATCCCCTTTTCCCCAAGACTTTTTGAAGCATGTCAAATGAGCAGCTTCGGACGACATTGTTTTCAACTACAAATTGATCAATCCGCAGTCGAGACAGCTCGAAAATTTAACCACGTGTGGGGGCCCAATAGTGTTGGAGAAAGCCGTGCGACAATAGCTCGACAAATTTCGTTCAGGAGATTTCAGCCTTGAAGATGAACCTCGTAGCGGTCGACCTTATGCAATAGTTGACGAGGATTGAAGGCGTTTGTGGAAACTGACCCATCCCAAACAGTTCGAGAGATTGCAGAAAAGCTAGGCGTTGGCAAGTCCACTGTTGCGGGTGGTCTGAGAAGGATGGAGAAGGTGAAAAAAACTCGACAAGTGGGTGCCCCGCAATTTGAGTGACCGGCAGAAATTGGCATGTCTCGAGGTTCCTTCTTCAGTACTTTTGCGTAACAGAAACGACCCCTTTTTGGACCGAATTGTCACCTGTGATGAAAAATGGGTCATGTATGATAAAAGGAGATGTTCAGGACAGTGTTTGGATGCCGACGAACCACCGAGACAATTCCCAAAGCCGAATGCTCACGAAAAAAAGATTATGGTCACAGTGTGGTGGTCACCGGCTGGTGTGATCCACTATGACTTTTGTCACCAGGCCAAACCATCACAGCAGAGTCCCTGTAAAGAAATCGACGAAATTTACCGAAAATTGCGTGCGTGCGAAAACTGCATCCACCACTTGTCAACAGAGAGGGTCCGATTCTTCTGCATGACAACGCCTGCCCACACGTTTCACAAATCACCATCCATAAATTGAACGAACTGGGTGTTAAAGTTCTACCTCACCCGCCATATTCTCCAGACCTTCCACCAACCGACTATCACCTTTTCAAGCATTTTCAGAACTTCCCTGCTGCAAAATACTTCATCAATCAGGACCAGGCAAAAAAAGCCTTCGTGGATTCCATGGATTCTCGACCACCCAGTTTTTTCTTTGATGAGATTTATCGAAAATTGTCACACTGGCCAAAAGTGTGCTGATTCGAATGGTGCTTATTTCGATTGAATCGATGAGTATTAAGAAGTTATGATCGTTTAAAGTGAAATACCTAAAACGCTGAGAACTTTCCGGGCAACCTAATAAAAGATGAAGGATTAAGTCTTCGCCGCTGATGAATCACTTTGTGGGATACTACACGCATTTCTACTTCCGCTCAAAATCATAGCGAGGAAGCGATGTGGCCAATACAGTGAATTGCGTGGACTAGCGATGTACAACTCAAAGTACCTATTCTCTCACAATCAGACGAATCTGTTGCCAATTTACCGCCACGAGAACAGGAGGCTTGTCGTTTGCCTGTGCGCGTGGAAGATTAGGATTGGATCTCCTTACCGCTGAGCATTGCAGCGTGCATTTGTCACTACACCACCTCCTGCTTCATTAGTTTCTCAGGGATAGTTCTTGAAGAGCTGTCTTTCAATCGTGGTGGAAAAGATGGCTCGTGGTTCGCACGAGCACTGGCTCTCTGGCAGGGCGCGCCATCGCGTTGTGATCATTTTCTGAAAATTACGATCCCCCCTAATTCCATACTAAAATGCGAGCCTCTCTTTTCGGGAGTGGTACGACCCCCCCCCCTCCCAGCCCTCTGTCCTTCCTCATCGAGCTGAAGCCGTCGAGCGGGGGGGGGGGTCGTCAGAATTAAACTATCATTTTCAAGTGGTCGGAAATAGTAGTGCGTCCGTGAACTGACCAAATACGACCCCCCCCCCTCCCAAAGATGACCAAGTAGACCCCCCCCCCTTTAGCAGCGTCCGTGAAACAAGAGAAATCGACTATCAAAAAAAATTTTTCTCTGACCAAAAACGACCCCCTCCCTCGCGGTCAAATACGACCCCCCCCCTCTTGTGATGATCACAACGATGGCGTACCCTGCTCTCTGGTGGACTATTTTTGCCACAAACATTGTCTCTCAGTGAAAGCTTTTCTGAATTCCATTTCAAGCGGAGGTATAGTCCTCATCATTGCAGACCGGTGGGGCGGGTGAGCCGCGCCGCGTGTGACGCGGCTGTGACTACGGCTCATAACAGTCGCGTCACAGCCGCGTCACCCGCAGCGCGGCTCACCCGCCCCACCGGTCTGCAATGATGAGGGCTGTACAATGAATGGTACGTGCATAAGGGCACAATCAGTTTCAACAGACGCGAAACATGCCTCAGCGGTGCCCATTCTAACATTATCTGACTAGTTACGAGTCCCGCTCATTCACTATATCGGAATCGGATCTATACGCGCTCTCTCTCACCTCCATCTCTTACTATTTCCTTCTTTATTTTATTGCAAAATTCTGCTTAATGTTTAGGACTTCAAGGCAAGTGACACGATAAATCCTCAAATGGTGTGGGATTTATACACCTATCAGGACAGAATTTGGCGCCTCTGAAGAGGCGCAGCGTGGGCCTTTTCCGAGGAAGGTACCCTCATAGTGCCCTATCAAGCTGCTCCCGACCTGGCGTCTTCCGTCTCACAATGTGTAAACGATGCTGATGCTCGTATCGCTTCGATGGCAACGGGGAACTCGTCCGAAATTTCCTTAGTGAGTCGTGTCGGGGGAAGGGTTTTTTTACAGGTTTTTGACCGTTTTACCTCCCTTCTTCGCAATTTTTCACATATGGCACTCCTGCTACCCCACCTAGACCGAGACCAAATTATCGTGCCTCATGCCTTCAATGTTCCTTTACTCTTTGGCTAGGAAGCGGAGCAATGGAAGTAGCAAGGGGTGTAAGGGGTACTTATTCAACAAGAACTACACGGCAACAGCAAGATTTCCTAAATTCTTCTGCAATCTCAAATCTTAATTCTGCGTTTTTCAATCTCAGAACCGGAGTGGTCCAGATATCTCACACCTTTTCTTCTCCATCAGGGCAAGAAGTCGCAACTAGCTCAAAATCGGTTCTCCACTGGACGAGGAAATTTTTTGTTGACTACGGCTGAGCACCACAAAGAACCCGAAAAAACCCGTAAGGGGAGCAAAGAACCCGAAAAAAACCCGTAGGGGGGAGTGGTGGGAGACAATACCAGCTATGGAGGGAGTCGGTGAGGTTTGATCAGCTATGAAAAACAGATCACATCATCATTGGGGATTTCCCATCATCGGCACATCATCGCTGGGGATTTCTCAACAGGAGAGAGGGTCGTATTTGGTATTTGGGGAAATCTGAGAAAGTGGTGGGCGACTTTTCCCGTTTCCCGTTTTATGCGCGCAATATAGTCCAATGGAATTTGCAAAATCGCCTCCTGAACAATAATTTTTGAGCCAGATTTTTGGAGCCAAATAAGACCGTACCCCGTCTAAACCCATCAACTATATGCTTAACCTAGGACCGTTTGTTCTAGAAGAAAATACATGCTATGGTTATCACTGCCTTCAGTGCTTCGCACCAGTCTGTCTCAGTTTACTGGAATAGCCATATATTTTAAATCTTTTACTTTTTGTGGAGTACAAGGACACCGTAAACCGTATACTGAGAATTTATCGAAAATATCAACAATAATACAATGAAAATGGCATATGGCTAATGTGTATGATACACAGCAATACATGTACATACATAGAGATCGTACAAGTAAAAACCATAAATTGATCACGTGAAATACAATATATGACGGTAACAAGTATGACAATCAAACGCACGTTACATATAATTCGTTTTCACCCACTGAACATGTGAAACCACGATTTTAGCGGATTTCTAAAAGAAATTCCCGTTTCAGTGTCATATGAGCGAAAACGAATTCTACGGTGTGTGTGCAGTCATGTTCGCTGCGGATAAAGGGGCGTGTAAGTGAGGCTGGGTTTGGCGCGCCGCCAGCCCGTTCTCCACATGTTTTTGAAGTGGGTGTGGGCTGGCGATGAGCCAACTCCATCCCCCTGACACGCCCCATGACACAGCGAACAAGACAATATGAGTGTGGTATTGTATGTGTCCTAGTGTCGCACTCATTTACGGTGACCGGTGGCAAGACATTGGTTTCGCTTCTAGTGTACGGTGTAGTCAAACGATAAAAACAAATATAAATAAAATATTTATTAAGGAACTTGTTTACATGGGTAATAAGCACCACATTTGTTGACTGTGGAAGGCACAAGTATTCAAGCAGTGTTGTAATAAGAGGCATGCTGTAACTATGCATATTGTGTGATTGATGATGTTTACCTATGGGTAATTGTGGTGATGATGATGATGATGAAGTGTAGATTAGAATTACTGCTGTACTGCTACCAGTACTACTATGACCACATCACTACGACTACTACTAGCCAGTGCTACTAGCAAAAAAAACACTAACGAAACTTAGGCTTATTGTGCTGGAAAGGAAAACGGCTTGAAAATAAAAGTTGCACGCTTCAAACGAAATGCCTCAGCTTGGTAGTACGTACCACAGAAGCCTATATAGTTTACTACGTACATCGCGTAGTAACGCTCATATTATTTGGCAGTAGCTGAGGCAGGTCACTTGACACACAAGAAGCGAAAGAATGTCTTGGCGTTCTTCTGTCAGCGATAACTTTCACAGTGCTACTAAAGGAGTGCAACGTAAGTGAGGCTTGACTAGCTACACACGCATTCAGTACGAGTCCTGTTAACAATTTTCATCGTTAGGTGCAAGAGACAGCTGTGATTGGCTGGTTGAGAGAACCACCAATGACAGTGACCTTTCGCACGAGTCGCACACAATCACCCTTACTTCTCAACAGGCGCTCAGACCGAATGCGCTCATATATATTAGCTGCTATCCGAAGCGAAAGCAATATACAATGTACAGAAAATAACTCAGGCAAATGTGAAACACATAAACATTGTACAAAAAATGTCATGAATCACCTTTAATATAGATAAATCTCTAGAAGTCTGTCCAGAGTAATCCCGTTTCAGTTCGACGAGAAACCGGCAACATTTCATCGGAGCCTTTTGGCGATTCGTCGATAAAAGGCGTATTTTGCTCATCCGACTTTGGCTGCGCACTTGACGAAGTTTCTGTAGATGGCGTTTTGACAACAGACGTCATGATCACTGACGTCTTCATCTCAGCTACTTGATCCGAGACAGCTTTCGGTTTCGGCGGAGGTGGTGGGGGAGGTGGTCGTGGAATTACAGCTTCTGGTGGGGGAGGAGGTAAGGATTCACTTCCTTCTGAGTCGTCTTTCTGGTCCATGGAGCTTGCACTGGGTACACTTTCAAGCTTTTCCATTTCATCGTGCAGACTTCTCGATTCAGACACGCTGTCGTCGACGACGTCATCGTTGAGGCAACTGATAAAGGGTGTGCTTCCACTGACGGTTGGCGAACAAGGACTCGGCGGTAAGTCGAATCGTACGGGTTGGGTTTGTCGCCGAGCATCGCCACGTTTTCCTCTTTTCTCTGTTCGCTCATGGCTTTGGGAACGATGTTTCAACACATAATCGAGGACGTTTCCCTCGGGAGTGGTAGGCGAAATGGAATGATCCTGTGAGGAAAAGTTCCTTGGCGACGGCAAACGCTTTCGTGGGACCAAGTCAAGCGATTTTCGTCGTTTGAACTGATCAGGACTCTTGGAGAGCCTCCTGAGCGAGCTCGTGTCGAAATCCCGGTTTCGATCTTTGAAAGTGGGGAATGACAAAGATTCCGCACTGTCAACCTTCCGTAGCGTCAAGGTATAAGGGATTTCACTGTTGAACAAGTGGCATTTCTCCACGTTCGGGCTGTCCTCACTTTTCACCGAAATCAGCTTTGGGCGAGTAGGAGGAGCTTTCGTGATAGGCTCAGATTTCGGCTCCAAGTCTGGCTCATCTCTTGAAGATGTTGCCGATTGAGGCTGTTCCATCAGATGTACAACTGGATGATCTTCGGGTGTAGTCGTGGGAGGAACGGCGTGCTGTGGAGGTACGACTTTCACAGGTTTGGGCATTACAGCTGGTTTTGGACCACGTTCCTTGACGCCATTGGGGGTGATTACCATATTTTCCTTGGTGATGATCTTTCCTGGTAGTGGTCGCTTTGCGCCGTATTCGACTTTCGTTTGAACCTCTACTTTTGGAGGATTTGCAGGTGGCGGTGGGATAGTAGAGCCGGATGGGCCGGAAGTGGTAGGATCAGGAACAACTTTTACAGTGGAGTAGTCGCTTTCATGAACAGAAATCACTTTCGGCTTTAACAGTAACGCTCCTGTTGACGTATAAATTGGTCCCGTAGTCCTTCGAACAGAGATGTCCACATTGGGACCATCAATTTCGATTGGGACAAAATTTGTTGAATTGAACGGATATTCCTTCAGATGACGTCGACTGGTAGATGACGTCGTAGGAGCGTTACTTGACGAGTCTTCTTCATCCGTTGAATGTGGTGTTGATTTAGATTGTGAGATCACACGTTTTACAACTACATTACTACCTACACGTTTTGTTGCAAAATTTGTACTGTGTGCTTGTCGTGATGGTACACCGACATCTGATTTTGTCGATCGTTCATGATCGGATAATCGATACGAATCTTCACTAATATTATCATAATCTGGTCGCATTGTATTAAAATTATCACCAGACAATGATTTTGGTGGATCAGTATTTTCAACTTCTAACTCTCTACAAACAACTTGTAAATCATCACTAAGCACATTTGGTAGCGATAGCGATACATTCTCTTTGTCAAGCGGCGGCGGTTCTTTGGCAGGAATTTTTTGCCGAGCACGATGCTTCTGGCGCTCAGCACATTCGTTTTCATGACGATGTCCTCGCGCATCTAATGTACCTGCATTATCGACTGTGTGCGCCTGATTTGGTAGATGAGGTAAGGAGACATGAGCACCGCCGTTCTTCTTTCGATCGGATACCATCGAATAGACGGCAAATGGTGGACCGCAACGCGGTGAAACAGCTGATCGCAGAGGCCTGAAACTGGAAAATTCACCGCAAATGCTTAAAAACATGCCACACCATCATGTACTCGCGGGGAATTAGGCGGAGTTCCCCACAACTGAGGGCGATAAATATCTCTCCTTGATTGAATCGCTCTCAGGAGAATGTTGCGTATATGGGCAGAGCACAGATGGTTGACTGTTTCAGCCGAAAGAATTATCAGGGAATGATTCGGGAGACGGGCAAGAGAATCGTAATTTGCCGCTCCGCTGCGCGCGGCGATATGCGCGGCCTTTCATTAAATGGTGTTAACCTGTCGACTGAAACACCCGACTTCATGTAGACCTCGTCATTGTAGATATTCATGACTATTTTTGGTTCCAAATTGACTGTTGTCGCCATCTACTGCGGAACCATCGTCATTTGCGGGCGCGACGTCGCACGCGATGCCCACCAGAACGGTGAATTACGATTCTCTTGTCACATACCCGGATGATTCTCCAAAGACCCAGGCCACAGTGATCGTAAAGGGGTTTCTCGATCGTTATTAATCGTGCGCCCTCTCCCTCTGATCAACGGTGTGTAAAACTACTATTTCTGATAGTTGAACGAGATTGCCCACCATCCCCTCCCCATCTCCCACACCGGACGGTACATTTTCAGGAAAGTGTGGGAAGATGGTAACTAGAGGCACATAAATAAGGAAATATGCTTGTCGCCCAAATTCAGTGCCATCTGACCCATGTCGATAATGTACCATCCTGTTTCCTGCGGAAGATGGGGCGTGTCGGAAAGGAGAATATCCGACGCACCGGGGAGATCCCCCCCCATATTTGCCCCTTCTATACGACCACTAAGCAAAAACATCCTAAGAAACTGCCGCCACAGGGGAACGGTGGCGGGGTTGGGGGCTCCGATCAAATTTTAAATATGAGAATTAGAAAATGGCTATAGAGCTGACAAAGGAAGACATGCATTGGTTGTCGAAAACGGTGAAAATCAAACGTCATAGAAGTTCTCAAGGCTCAATACGGCCTCCCTCCCAGCGACCGAATATGACCCTGCTCCACGAGGCCCCAAAGATGTCATGCCCAGTCTATCTTTCCAAAAGAAGCGCTCTTTTCAAACGGACAACGTTCACACCCTAAGGAAGACCCAGATCTGGCCATTTTGGTGTTGGTGCAGATCTAGGCCATGTCCATATTGAACTTGTGAACTTTAGGAACAATAATCCTGGTGGAACCTGAGGGAAATTTTGGAAGCTATAATGAATATCATTCTTGAGAGGACGGCAATGATGGGTGATAAAATAAAAGTACCTTGTAAAGGGCTCTCTACGTTTGTGATGCTCTCGAACGTAATCGATTAGCTGCTTTTGAGTTCGTCCATGATACCTTAAAATCAAAATATTGGGTATATTCTAGTGAACTTAGACGCTTCTCTTTAAGACTTTCATTTCGGAGTGCTTCATTAGGACATTGCCAATTTCGAAAAGACTGAGAGAACAAAGTAGGAAAATGGATGGAAGAAATTCAATAAGGAAGAAAGACGATTGTGTGGCGACATCGCACCTCTCCATCTGGGAGACTCCCACATTGCCTTGGTAATTTGAGATTCGCACAGAAAGATTCAAAAATTGCTAAGAAGTTTTCGTGCCCAAAGCAACAAGGAAATCGATGGTATTATGGAAAAGATGATAATGACGCGATGTGACTGCCCTCTATAGCTTTGGAGAACTGAGGGTAGTCTTGTTCGCTACAGATGCTGGGGCGTGTCAGAGAGGCTGGGCTGGCGAGGCGCAAGCTCCGTCTGCTAACAATTCTGATTCAATTTTCGCACTTATTTTACAGAATTAAATTCTTGTGGCGATTGCCCTCAAGAACCTTTGTCAGATATTGTGAGCGAAAGTTGCTAAAATATCGGTAATTTTTATACCTGAAGGATGATCCCTTGCTGAATAATCGGCTATCCTTTCGAGTATTGTCAGCAGCTGAACAACGAAAAAACGCGTGATGTTCGACGCATTTCTTCCAGAACGATTTACATTCGTTTCGAGAGTCGAAAATGAATTGAATCGTTTCTTTGTAGTACTGCTGAAAGTAGTGCAATTAGACAAGTAAGTCTGTAATTCAGCTATTTCAAAAACGAGTGGTAATGAAATTAACAAGTGAATCGGTTTTTTTTCGCAAACATGGTGCATCTTAGCCGCTTAGGAAAATTTCTGGGGGAGAGGCTTCCCCCCCCCCACCATCCTGACCACCATTTCCCAGCTTTTCGTAGATTTTCCCAAGATCCTACTTTCTTGCTGCGAGTTCCAATTTCGGGAATATTTCCCTTTCTCCTCGGAAGTTTGCGGTGAGCGGGGGGGGGGAGGGGAGCGGGGGATGCAACGAAACGGAGGAAAACCTCGAAAAAAGAAATCAACAGCCGAAAAATTTTTCTCGCATGCGGCGAATTTCTCTCTAGAAGTGTACTACCCTTATTGAAGGTTCCTCATCACTGTGAATAGCGCCTGTGAAGTAGGTAAAATGGATAATCTAAAAAAATTTTTTCAGGCCAAATACGACTCCCGCTCGCTGGATATTCCCCAACGTAGGAGACCCAGTTTGCAAATCATGCCATAGAACATCCTGGCTTTATAGAAGCTAAATATACGATTATCCCTCATCAGAATGATCTCATATCATGGTAAGTTTGGCTCTGCATGCACATCTTTGTGTGCGCTCGTTTGACGCGAAATTTATAGCGCGAGCAAATAGGGAGAGGGGTATTAAGCAGGGTCTACGGACAACTAAAACTCAACTGGAATAGCGCTAACTTTCTGTTTTTCTGTGCGCCCTCTTGACCCTGAGTGGCCCTCTGTGACCATTCAGACCTTTCCCATTCTAACTTTTCACGCATACTGAGTGGCTCATCCATTGTGTCCTCTCCCTTCAAAAAACTCCTTTCCTGGCTTGCGACATGTTTTTTATACCTCACGATGCCTCGGCAGTCGCAGTCCTTACTGCCCTGCTCTGTGGCTCATCGCGACAGGACTCCCAAAGTTTTACTGGTCACGTAACCTTAATGTAGCCATTTTAGCTTAACGCTGAGTTTGTCGCAACATCAGCCCGCTTTGCAGCAATTGTTGTAGAGCAAGCAACAACAATTAGTGATAAACGCGCTCGCGCGGCGCCGAAAGCAGTCCCCCTCTTCCTTGACACGCCCAGTGTTTGCTGGGAAAACGACTATGTAAGTGTGTGGCACAGATGATGGGAATGATGGGGCGGAAACATTTATGGTGCATGAAAGGAAATGAAAGTCTGTAAAAAGGGCTGGTGAAAAGCGTTAGAAGCAGGTGGCACTGGCACTCTCCCACCCCCCCCCCCTTCCCCCTCCCTCCCCGAGCAAGTAGAATTTTCAGTAAAGTGGATAATGCGTGTGCACGTGAACAGCGAGTGACAGGTAGTAATACCTTGCGATGAGCACTGATTATTGTCAATTCTCTCCGCAACTGTTCCTGTTAGCTCAAGAACCAGAGATCAGAACTGAGTAAACACAATCAATTCTTTTTAGTGGTAACGGAACTCATTAGCAACAGGTGTTTCTAACGAAACATGCATGTTTAATGGTAGCTGCTCACAAAGAGTTATAGGAGACGATAACAACTGAGTATGCAGAAAATTTTTGAACCCAATATAAAATATGAAAATGGTCCATAAATTATGGTCCTATCACAGCAGCTTTATGTACCCACTACTATCGCACTTCTATGGCGCTAGTATCGGAGTTTCTCGGCTACCGCACACTCCATAGTTCTAAGGAGTAGCAGAGGTTTACAGAATAGTTCATGTGCAGAAACAGTTGAATACTTGACGGTAAACCAGAAAAAATTAGGAGGAGCAGATGGCATTTCAAAGGACTTAAGGAACTTCAAGCAATACAAGTCAATCAACAATAGGACTTCAAGGCAGACTTCGCGATGAGAAAGCGAAAAGCTCGGGGGTGGCGTTGAGGAACAGATTTTTATTGCTGACTGACTTGCTTCCCAGGAAAAAAGCATAGGGAACCGTCGAGGAGGCTTCAAATAGAGCCCTATTCGTCTCGCGAAAGAAGTCAATGCACATCAGGAGAGAGAAAACAGCGAGAGAGCACGCAACGAAGGAGAGCACAGACAGGACATCTATCACTGTGGGCGGAGTCACTTGAGTGACCTTGTGCTTCTCCGCCGCTACCTCGCTCGTGAAACTTATACAGGGTTGTTCGCTACAGCACACTTCCTTTTCAGATGAAGACTAAGCTAATTATAAGTGATTGTGGGTTGTTCGTTCAAGGAACGTCAAGCAGAGCGATACAGCCTTCGCTAAGGAAGCTGGGCTGTGTTAGGGGGACTGGAATTGGCGCGGCGCCGGTCGTTTTTTCCTAACTGTCGTCGTTCACCTGTTTTGACAAATGGTGAAGAACGGGCTGGGCCGCGCCAAGCTCAGCCTCCTCCCATAGCCTGCAGCAAACAAGACTGCCCCTTTCAGCACAGAATACAGAATTGTGACATGGTGGTGTCAGTACGACCCCCCTCCTCCCCCTCCCAACAACTACCTAACACTTTCCTACAAGCTCCCAGCTGCCTACACCTTTTTTCCGGAATTTTCCGAAAATCCCCTTACTTTCACCCAGAAATTTTGCTGCCGAGTGCCGAGCGGAGGGGGGGGGGGTGGAAGGAGGGGGAAGAGAGGGAGGTGTATAGCAATATAGCCAATGTGGAACGGAAGAAACCGCGAAAAGTCAACTACCGGGAAAAATTCTATCTCAGCACGGCAAACTTCTCTCAAAGGCAAATACGACCCCCCCCCCTCCACAGCGGCTTGAAAGACTTCCCCCATGTATTTCACACAACGGTGCCGTACCCTTCTTCAGCAGTCAACCTCTTAAGGACCACTTGGTGCTGGGCGCGGCGAATCAGCCAAACTCAAAAAAATCAAGTGGACATGACCCATTGACAGTTATGCGGCTTTACTGTAGAAAAACACGCAACCGGTTCTGGTGAACATTAGAAGCACAACTACGCAAAAAAAATTGTTACAATGAATATGATAGTTGATAAAGGAACTCACATAGCTGTCCGGATGGAGTTTTACTAGAAGTTTCTTCCGTTTGAAGCTGAGCTTACGAATTTTGGCCCAAGAGAAGGTTGACACACATTGCAGCTGATGATAAACCTTGATGCCCAAATGAAGCACAGCTAATCGAGCCTCCGTACCTTCTATATCCTAGAAACAGAACACAATTAAGATGGTAAGCGTCGAGGAAAACCACTTTTCTTCCTGAAGATTCCAAATATTTTCCCAACATTTTTCGGAAATTCATCTCATTAGCTTCCTTTGATTCTTGCGCTCTTTCATCAATTTCTTGTCATGCCTATGAGTTTTTAATGGATGGTGTAATAGTTGAAGATGCGAAGGGGTCATTCATCATTCAGCTGTTACAAATCGTCACATCGCACACGAGATTTCAGAAAACTTGCTGTACGACATGCTCAACCATGAAAAATAGCTATGAGAAATCGAAAACAACAGATAATTTACAAGTAGACACGTAGACAGCTTACCACTATCCATCAATCCAATCTGAAGATCAGTTATGTAACCCTGTTCTCCAGTAAACTAATTTGAAGGGGTATAATGGTTTTTTAGCTTCTCTAGAGCAGTTTTTTTCCGTAATAATTATTTAAGCTCTACCATAGAGCAGGATAATTACAGCAACTTCTTTCAGTGAGCATGACCTGCGAAAATTGTGCGGGAAGTACAGCGCGCTTTGCAATGGATAATCGTTTTCTCCAAAGTGCTAAGGTGCTACAGTGACCACTTTTTTTCAGCGACTCCGCCTCCAAACTCCTCTTCCAGGGCAACCTCCAGCAAAAAAATCATGGTGTCGGACGCGTAGCATAGAATGGGACTGTAGAACCCTGCATTCTTTGTAGGGTCCCAGAACACATTACACGGAACCAGATGACCTGATCCCAACACGTGTTTTTGCGCTGTGCTTGCACAAATGCTCGAGGCTAGAGAAGCGCTATTAGGAATGTTTTCGGCATTTCCTTTTGCAATTTCCTTTCATCAACTAGTCTCTTCCTCATCCCAACAACCATTACCTAGGCTCCCTATCGCGGACCATGCATTTAACCAAAATAGTGATAATACTACCGAAGTGTGTATTGTATGACCCCGAATCATACTCCTGAACGTTGATCTTCTGGGAGTGGGGGAGGGGGGCGGGGATGGAGAGGAGAGGGGCAATTTTTTTATGTGCTAGTTTCCTCATTATGTGACTCTTGCTAACTCCCGCATTTCACCGGGATAAGAACTTTATTACAGCTTTACAAGACTTTGCTGGTCTTCCAAGGAGCATTAGCATGATCGATAGGCACCACCAAAATGACCCCCACCAAGCCGAACTGCGCCTGGTTTTACATTTTCAAGGGATATTGCGGTTATCACTTTGTAAAATGTTCGTGAAGGGTAGAAAAAACGTAGTGCATTTGCTGATGGACTCACTTCTGAAAAGGGAGGAAGCTCAAGAAGGCAATTATGCACCTCTGTACTTGACAAACTGCTTCATATGAAATACATCCTTTCTAGAAAGCTACGAAGGAATGAAGAAAAAAATAATAACTAGAATTTGTTCACTTTCACTTTTGTTTTATAATTCTCGATTATTCTTGAGGAACCGAAAACACTATGAAGAAGTTCCTAGGAAAGATATAAAAAGGTCTGCCCCTGCGTCAATGCTCGAAAGATCCACTGAAAAAAAATCTGTCCCGGCGCGGTTCGGTAGATGCACCAAGCAGGGGTCAGCGAAGGTCGTACACTCACCATGTGAAAATAGCTAAGGTCCTCTAACCTTAGTGACTAGTTGCACCATTTCACAGCTTCCAAGAGTGTAGAGGAAGAGGGCTCGTAATTGACCGCGAAGGAAGTGGGGGGGGGGGAGTGGTCCTTCTTAAACCAGGACTCATTCAGAAAGTGGGAGGTCTCTCCGAGTGAGATCTGTCAGGACGAACTCATAAAAGGAACTAGCGGCAGTGCAAACGTTCCCCTCCCCCTCCCTTTTCTAAAAATCGACCAGCGCCATTGCTGTTTTTTTTAGCTAAACAGGGGGTGGTTCAAATAGGGAGGGGGGGGGGATGAAATAAGCATTCGAACAAAAATAGGTCATTATAAAGTATGTACCTTCGCCGGATGTAATTTGATGCCGTAGAAATCACATCGACGTGCCACTTCAAGCATTGCAAAATCACTTTCACCAGGGCTCATTCCTCTGAAAATAAATTTGTAGATATAAAGTAGATTATGCAAGTGTCGTGTCCTTCTACAACTTTAGATCTCTCCGACGTCATATCAATTATTGCAGAGCTCATGGTGGTGATGGAGGGAAATGGTTACTCAGTACGACCACGTTCCCTAGCCCTTGCATGAAATGCGACCCCAATGAAGCCCATAGTCTAGTATTTCACAAAAAAATACCGACGAGAAATTTTCATTATTTTCGCAAATCATTCTAAAGAAGCCATATACAGTCCTCATCATTGCGGACTGTCGGACGTGGCGTGAGCGGCGCGGTTCGAGCCCGCGTCCGGCAGCCTTGCTCTACCAATGGCGATCCGGTAAAGATCGATTTGGGAAGGAAACAATCAATGGTGAAAGCGCGCAGCTGAGAACCACAGATTGCGACACGACAATTGCGGTGATGTTGAGTGTACTATTTATCTCCTGCCCGATTGACTCATGTAGGATACCCCTTGAGAACCTCAACCACGCCGTGCATTTCATGCAGTCATGACGGCTACGGTACCATCTCGTAGGGCCATTACATAGCCGTACGAGATGGTTTCCGTACACTTTGTCGCAGAAGCATGCCAGTGTTTGTAGAAAAGACAGGGATTACACCGGCATCTGTTTTCTAGACTTCATATCATCGGACCGCAACCTATGAATGCACTCTTAAAGGCAGTTGGCAAATGATTTTGTGCTCGGCCTTAAATGCTAGTAGGGCGCTATATAGTGGGGAAATGGCGGAAGAACGGAGTGAAACGGTCAAAATCCTACGAAGAGAGAGCCTCCGTTTTCTATAATAAAAATCAATTTTGGGCGAGTTCCACGTAGGCATCTTGCCAATAACCGCCACCGAATACGGTTGCATATGTGTACTCCTATATCCATGCAGCATCACGGCGCTTCATATCCCTTCGCTTCATTATTTGCTTAGCAAATGAATCGATTAGAGCGTCAGGAACGGTCGTCCATTTGTGGGCGGGCGGGCATGACGGGCGTTTGGGTCGGAATGTTGTGGCTTAATAGGACCCTTATAAGGGCACCTTCCTTGGAAAAGGCATTATGCAGCGCCTGCTCAGGGTCGCGGAATTCCGTCCTGCCAGTCGCATCAATCCTACTCGTCTTGGGGCATTTACCATGTCAACTGCCTCTAAGTAGCATCGGAGTATCAAAAAAAATCCCTAAAAGCCAATCTCATGCACTCTCCCGAAATTTCGAATGATAGAAGCTTGAGCACCTAAAAAGGGAGACCTATAGTACCCACGTCCATTAAGGAAATGGAGCTCATTTTTCATTGGGAGATATCGTCACTCAATTTAGCAGACAAAGATTCTCTGAAATGGCTACCGTATCGGAAACTCCAGTGGCAAAGTGCCAAAATAGCCGTCCTATATGTATACCAGACCCCTTGAACCAGCAGCACAAAGTATTTTAGGCTGTAAGTATCCTATCATTAAGAAACCTTGTTGTCTGCTACATCCTTTTGTTCTCAACAGTGAGGCGACGAAAAGAAGAAAATGCGTTAATCTCATTCACGTAATGGAATTAGGGAGCCCACAGCAAGAGTCTGCAGGCAATTAGCTCGATGGTCCCATTGTTCAGGGCTTCCTAGCTGAGCATTTTGATGATGGAAATTTCAGTTGCTAAGTGGGATTTCATGTTCCGAAAGCCGTCGCACTCGTCACCGGGCTCACTCTCGCCCTTCCGTTATACATAGCCCAACTAGTGGACGCCGCTCGACTCCCCCTCTTCTCGTTCGAAATTTTTTCCGTATGCGACATCATCGTCGGCTTTAGCGTAAAGCGCGCAAAAATCGATGCTGGAACAACTGCTATTATGTTGAATGAGAACCCCGGCCATATATTTTTTCTGCTCACCGGACAACCACGTGAGTTTTGTTCCGTTCGGACGACAGCGGGCTCATTCGCAGCGGCGCCATTCGAACACATTCCAGTCACGGGCTAGTCAACCGGAACATCTCACAATGGTTTAAAATCTCAACGTTGGTGAACCCAAGAACTACGTATAAAAAGTAATGTAATCGGGGGCGTGTACCCTGCGCCCTCTGGACCTCGACTGACACCCAATTTCGAAGGAAAAAAATCGTGATTTTTGAGCAAAACGCTCTGCTCGCGGTAGGACTCAGAAAAAAAAGCAGAATTTTTACTTCACAAAAGCATATAGCGAAAAAGAAAGGGTAGGTTGAAAAAATCAGGGAAGATCCCGGAAATGGTAATAAACTTCAAGGTTTGTTCAATGCATAGAAATTAAACAAAATCGGTACCCAAAAAGCTTTTCGGAAGGAAACTCTTCCTTCCAGAAAGCTTTTTTTCCGAATTCTCCGAAGAAAACAAAGGACAGAACAGCTGGAAATGATCTACTAAACTATGACTCGAAATCGGAATTCTGTAGGAAGTTCTGCCCCTACATGGAGCCCTCAATGAACTTACGAAAAATTTTTATTATCAAAACGAAACACTCTGGTTAGTACCCCAGTACGGCAAACGTGAGGTCCACATTTGAGTACTGGGCGTGGTGGAGCGTTTTACTCATAACTCACCCTATTGTGATAACTATGGATGGCATAGTAGTACGAAACGTGAGGCCCAGATACGGACCTCAGGAAAGGCAAAGCATTTGACTAATAACTGGGCCCTTTTATAACTGCTAGCTCCTTCTTGCGGAGAGTATCGGATTCTCCCCTAAAAAGGGGGCAAACTTCACCGGACGAACTTACTGACAATGAGTTTGTAAGTTTGTCGTGACTTTGTAGTAGTGAATGGAGTTCACTCCAGTTGGAAACAATTCTGGTGTCCAATAGCGCTAGAACAAGGACACGTGAAGGTTTGTTTGAACTGAATCAGGCTTCCATCTCTTCAGGGACGTTTTGTCCCGAGAACGGGTGTCAAGAGCCTCCGGGCCTACTGCGTGAGCCATCCAATGAGTTACTCGGCGCGCTGAGCTACTGCACTCAATCCGCACTCATCTGTGAAGACCTCATAAGAACACAGAGCGCTATAAATAGCACTCAGGAAGTATTCAGCGGATCTTTTCGGAAAAAGTCATTAGGCCAGTATTATTTAAACATTTCCAGATTTCCGCTTGCGACAACTGACCCAAGCAAAACCCCATGTCAATCGTCATTTGATGACACATTCGATTGTGGACAAGCGTAGCTGCTGACAGGTGCCATGCCAATCAATCGCACTTTGACGCCAAATTTCGTGAAAAATTCAAATTCAAATGAACAATAACAATGAAATGCACAACGCATAGAAGGTCGAAAAGGTGTGCTCTAGCAGAGGGACAGCGTAGTTGGGAGAGTCATATCAGGGGAGAGTGGAGGGATCGTACTTGTTTCTGAGAACGCTTTTTTCTGAAGGCGAAACATATTTGTTGTGGACTGCTCTGTTTCCCGTTCCAATTGCTCTATATGTGCCCCCCTCCTGAGCCGGTGGTGCCGCACACCCGCTATTCGACCGCTGTTGTTTACTGAGGATTTCAGAAGTTGACTAGTGGCGACCTCCCCTCCTCGACGGCCGTTTTTTGGGAAAGCAGGAAGAATTCCTGGAGAGCTTGGAAACGTTAGGAAAATGAGAAAACTAAGGAAAATGGTAGGTAGAAGAGAAAAAAAGGAGAGGCTGTACCAAAGAGGAAATTTTGACGGGGGGTCCTACTGACAAGACCATTTACACATCATGATGCTGTACCGCGCGTGTATACTCGGCTAACTAGTAGAGTACCAGACAGAGCTCTCAAAAACTTCAATGTTGAATTTTGAAATTCGAGCGAAAATTCTTCAAATTCCTTTCTGAATACTTACATCAAGTTTTTATGGTTTTCCATGACTTTTTGTTGAAATTCAATGGTTTGATGAGGAATGAAACGTGAATGTGAGAGATACGTAGCATCTGGATAGTCTTCAGCGGAGAAATCACCACATTCAGACTGAAAAATGAAGTAATTAATGGTTACTGGATTACATGAAAGTAATAACAAGTAATTGACTCATATGAGACACCTGCACAAGATATGCGGCTAACAAGGCAGCTGTTGTTTCGGCACAATGCAATTCGCCCATTGACAAATCACGTCGAATTTGAAGCGTTAATAAGTACCTGCAAAATTACCTAAGATAATAATCACGATGTATTTTGATTTTCCAGTAAGTATCCATCATTCTAGTTCATCAGAGGGGTCATTTACTGTAGATCATAAAACATCGATAAAGTTTCTGTCTACGAGATTTCTAATAGAAAATGTATCATACCGCGTATATTCTTCTTCAAGATCGATTGGATTAGGTGTATAGAATTTTACAATAAAATAGAATTTTGCATCAGTACTATGTGAGCTGATTTGTCGTAAAATCGGCTTGTCCGCATCCAGCCAACACTGAAACGTCGGCATTTATGACCCTATTCATGGTTTTTCCTCTCTCAGAGATTCGCTGATGTTTGAGAACGAACACTTGCAGCCAAAGGACTCGAACCACAAGGTATTTTTCACAGTGAATACTTTCGACACGAAGGTCCTGCCTTGCTGTTATTCCACTTCCGCGCTTTACTCCTCCGGTAAGGCACTTTCTGGCAATACGGGAAGCTGGCCGCATAGCACGACCCCATTCTCCTCCTCCTCAGGTACAAACCCACCAGACCAGAGTTCTACTTCCCTATTCCAAAAGAACGAAAAGGGCAGGGGTTTATGATCAAGTATACGCCATTTTATGGAGACGTTACCCCCCCCCCCCCTACGAAACTCTGTTATTCTGAGAAACTCCCATGCGTAAATTAATACGAAGCCATTTAGAAAATTGACACCCCTGCCCAACTTCTCAAATACGGAATCTATTGAGGATCTTCCAACCACGGCATGCTCTGCCCAGAAATCTATAAACTCTAAGCTCGAGGTATTTTTAGGCCAATTTTTGTGGTCCGTATCTTTTATTTCCTGAACGGCCCTGCTTGATAGAAAGGGCAAAGGAGATAAATTGATCGCTCCCCCTGGGGAGTATTCGGTCTCCAGTTAGATTTGTGGAGCAATTGGACCCTGAACTTGGTCGAGGAAATGGCCTGAGGATTGCGGTCGACGTGCAAGCCAACTTTTTTGCTTCCCATGCAAAACTAGCACAAACCAAATGACTACGTAAAAAAGGGGCCAAGTTGGCGCAAGTGGAGTTCGATCTATTTATGTTACATTAGCAGAGGAATTCAGCATTCTTTCCAGGTCCCCTGGCCACTTTCGAAGAACCAGTCACAACTTCCCTCTAAAAGATCACCTTCCTGCAGCATGGCGATTTCACTCTTGGGAAGGGCATGGGTTCGCACGGAGAGGTATTTAAACAGAAAGACCGGCTCCACCTTCTTTTATGGCTGTAACTCACCCCTCTCCGCTTCTCCAAGAAAAAAAAAGCAAAGAAACAAAAGTCGTGTCGGCCGAGAGGGAAAGGGCTTCAAAAGTAAATAAACCATGTGATAGCTCTTAAGATTACTTGTACCACGAAAGGTTTCTCCTAGAGTCATTACAAGAATGCTGAGTTATGGGTAAATTTCTGGACTCAAGCTGAAATTGATCCCGCACCTCATACTGTCTCTAGAATCCCTACTGCTCCTCAGTTTCTCGATCATCAACCTTCAGAATCGAATTGTCTAATTTTCAGTTACATCTTCCCTACAGAAAAAAAACTGAAACTATGACAAAAATGTGGTAAAAGTAAAGCTCCCGTTCAATTCAAATAGCTGCACATCACTTCAGGAGCGTTTCGGCAATCCCGCGAATAGTTGTCGGCGACTAATTTCAACACAAACGCGTAAGCACTGTTCACATAAACAACATTCCAAAGGAGGGGGGGGGGAAATTGACTAGCGAATTTGAACAAGGAATAATCGCGAGGTTGAGAGGGAAAGAGGGAGCGAGAGAGGGAGAACAAGACAGTAGGCGTAGAGTGCTTCAGTCGTAGACGAAATCGAATCAATGAGAGGAAAAAAGTGTACGTAAAGACGATAGAAATGTGTGTGTGTGGTGTTCACTCACATGGCATCCCGAGTTATCAATGCACTCCAAACCGAAGTAGTCATTTTCAAGCAAATTCAAATGCCGTGCTACCTCGTCGAGTAACGTTTGACCGAGTGCTTTATGCTGTAAAAAGAAAAATCATTAATCAAATTCATTGATTATGACGAAAAATTGAACAAATGAGAAGTAGTGATGAGGTCGAGAGCAAAGAGGAAGCCAACTTCCGTTTCCCACGTCCCTTTGACATCCCTGAGATGCGGTGGGCGTAGCCACGAACTTCAGCTAAACGTGGCAGGCACTGTACTTTTGACGAGATGTTCTCATTTTAGCACAATTGTGCTCATGTCTTTGTCTTAAGTTGAAATATCCCATGAGTAACCCACATATATGTCCAAATGCCACGCCTACTCAGTCTCAGGGATGAGGAGTGTAAAACTCGAAGAATATTAGGGACATATGGTTTTCTTCTTTGAAACACTTCAAAAGCATGTGATGGAAATCGTACACAATTACGTGCAATGCTCAGAAAAGAAGATTTCAAACACAAATATTTGTCATTCATATAAACATTTATTTATGATACATTATTACTATATTGAGAATACTTCTGCATTGATAGTTACAGTTATTGTATCCAAAAGCTTCAAAAGGTCATCAGATCGGAAGCTCTCTAAGCTTCAGAAGCACTGAATAAAATTATAATAAATATAAATGTACTAATGAAGTAAATATTACGATAATTAATTTCGGGCGATATGATAAGAAAAATATGAAATTCTAGAAATGTTTGGTACTGTCATATCTTCAACGCAACTAATCGTTTGACGCACGCCCCGCCCAATGCGGGCGAGTTGGCGTTCGCATGTGAAAGCTATTTTCTACCCATACCAAACTTGATCCGCGCGAATCCTTAGGTGTTTGGTCACAGTCACGCGTACGTCCTCATCATTACGTACTGTCGGGGCGGTTCAGTGCAGCTGCGTTTGGCGCGGGGCCAAAGTCGTTGCACCAGTTGCTGAAGCGGGCAAGTGACATTACTGTATTATATCCTCCGTATTACTCGTTTTCTGCCACTTTTTGTCGCATACGCGTTTTAACAAAAAGGCCGAGAACGGCTTCAGCAGTGTGCACACTCATACTGGTTGACACGCCCCACCCGCAGTGATGAGGACTGTAATTTTACGAAATAGGTTCAGTACTACAACATCTCTAACGCAGCTGAATGGGCTGACCGTTCTAGAGATTCGGCGTATGCCCTGCCCAATGTGGGCGGGGTTTCTTATGCAAATGGAGGTTCATGATCTACTCAGAACCAAACTTGATCACCTGACGCACGTGAACCTTTAGGTAATCAGTGCATTCGCGCCAACTCAGGGGCTCAGGCAATATTTTGGGGGTGCCATGCACCGCGATTCAGGCGCTGGAAAAAAAAACGTTTCCGGTACATCGAAAAACTTTTCACGTGATTGTCACGCATAATCAGTTACGAGTACGCTCAAAATAGTGGAATATTATCAATGGTCGTTTCAGATGATCGTAAGAATTTTTCGTGCAACGTCTTAAGCCTGTTCCAAGTGGCCCGCTTGTCCGAGTAGCGCCCTCTATAGTAAGCTGATATCCAGGGTAGCGACTGACTGATCAGTGGCGTATAAACAGCTTTTGCTGTCGGCAGCCCATTGATCGCCCCAAACCCCATTATTTCGTGAGAGGTGAACAGAAAAATCAAGCTGTACAATCAAAACCATAAAAATAAACTGATATGACTATTGATTGCCGAGGATGAACAACCGAAATAAGGAAATGGAAATGGGGAAAAAGAGAAAAAACATACCCCGAGATGAAAGACGGCCACACTATCGTCCAACATTCTGACTTTGATACAGACGAGCCGTCCACGTTTCGTATCCATACCGGGAGGGGGTGGCCCTCCCACACCGAGCGGAATACCCGACATTTCCGCTCTGAAATCCAGAAATAAATCTCTGTAGAACAACATAGCAGTAGAGTTTACAACTACAACAACTTCCACACAGTTGTTAAAGCTAGCGCAGCTGCGAAAGCCCCGTTCTTCCTGGTCAATAAAAGCCGGCAATGTTATTTTAAAGTGACCATCATGTCCGTGGGAATGAAGCAATCCACGTTACATACATCATTAGGGCTGGAATTCTTGGAGGAGAAACTTATTGAGGACAATTTGTTGAAGAAGAGCACTCAAAGACGCTCTGTAATCCCCTCACTGAAAAGCCGAGCGGAAATGAGTTTCGGCATAGAGTCTCAGTGAGTGAATGAGATGCATTGGATAGCCATTGAATACCCCGAAATGTCAAACAAAACGGGCAGGATATCACCATTGTGAGGGCAATCGCCAAAATCTCGAAGTAAGAAGGAAAAAAAATGATGTGACCTATTCAAAGAGCGAGGGTACGAGGGTGTTTTGAAAGTCTCTAGCCCTCAAAGCGTCGGGTGGTATTACTGTAGGAGCGGGAACAAAGGGTGATAGCCCGAAGAATTCTTTGTTATTTGATGAAAGTACTGATAAGAGATGTGGATTAAAGTCGACACACGACGATTGAAGGGGAAGAGCGGTGATGTTGAAGAGGCGCAATAGAAAGCGGGATGAGAGTGAGGGAAGTGAGAGGGAACAATTGGCAAAGTCCGCAGCAGTGTGCAAGCCGCCGCCCACATGCCAGATGGCCAAAACATAGCTGGAGGAGGAAACCTCTTCGACAACGTCTACGACACGACGATGACGGTGTGACGACGGCGGCCAGCCAGCCAACTAGCCGGGCGATGACAACGAGGCAATGATGAGCGATAAATGTTCGAGTTGTACTCCTCAGTGTCTCGCGCATCGTTGACGCTTTGCTGCACCACCACACTACCACTCAACGTTCTCTCATCGAATCCCGAAAAACAGACATTGAAATTGCTATCAACCGACGCCAACTGCTCGAGAAATTCTCGTTGCTAAACTCACCACTATAACGACCTGCCTAGTGAAACTTCCCGAGAAATAAAAACCTCACAGACACTTCAGTTCTATACCTCTTTTATGGGGTCAGCCGTAAGACAAGTTTGCTAGAAAGCTAAAAAGGAAAAACTGCATTTTCAGCCTCATAGAGCGATCTATCAATTTTTTGGGAGCTCCTTCCACTCCAGTCTCAATCAAAAGGGTGATGCCACTTGACTTTAACATAAACTTCAGAGGTCAGCCCATATACAGCTGTGACCCCTGCCAAGGATAGGGCGTATGAAGGGTGCGAGGATTGGAGCCAGGGCACATCATCGTTGGGGATTCCCCAACAGGAGGTCGTAGTTATGTAGATAGTTGATTTTTCTTGTTTTACGGACGCTTTAAAAGGACGTGGGGGAGGGGGGAGAAGCTCGTGTTTGGTGCTGTTAGGGAGGAGGGTCGCACTTGCTTTTGTGGCGTTGGGAGAATCGAGAACATTTTTTTCCGGTCGTGGAGTTTTCGCTGTTTTTCCTGTTTCTCTATTACATGTACTATATACCCCCCCCCCCCAGCTCGCCGACAGCATCTGAGGAGGGAACTGCGGGGGAGGTCTAGGACGCGACCAAAACCCCCAGCTAATGATGCGAACTACTTGGAGCGCTGCCAAGGCGGATTTCCCACCAGTCGTAGCGGGCTCAGAACTGCATCATTGTTAGAACGAGACAGCCCTGGCTGCGCTCCGATCCGCGCCGCGTCACATGCCCTACGTTTCCAGCGGTCACTGCTGTACGAAATGGCGTTCCTTTTCTCTGGGGTCCTGTCGTTGAGGAAAAGTTTTACACAATACGACTTCTCCCAAAGTATCCTCTGCGGTACGACTCCCTTCTCTATCCCTTACCCTACCTACCAGCTTCCTATTTTCCGCACATTTCCCCGTAAATTCTTTTACTTTTCCCCACCAGAATTGCCGTGTCGGCGGGGGCGGAGGTGGGGAGTAAAGGGGGAATTTTGCTACATTTGAAAAGAAACGTTCGAGAAAAGTGAACAACCGAGAGCATTTTTCTTGAATGCAAGTACGAGTTCCCCCTCACCGTTCAGCGAGCAGTAACGACCCCTTCGCTGGGAATCCCCACGTACGACGCACCTTGCGTCTGACACCATCAACCTGTCTCGAAATGGTGGAAGGGTTGATAGGCCCGGAATGAAGCCGATCTGAAATTTAGCCGCGCGTGTGGTCAGAGAGAAAATTCGCTGCAACACCCACTTCCCCCCCCCAGCTCGGAATCGTAGGCGGTCCAAACTTATCCTGGCATATAAGCCGCACTTGCACGGTGACATGGAAGAAGCGACAACGCGTTAATCCTTCAGATATCCTCGTGATTATTTAACAGACACTTTCTACCCGACAAAGCTACTTCGGTGACTAGGAAGATCGGTCATGGATATTGAAGACAGCTACAAAAAGCGAACTTCGTGTTTTTCTTGTGCGAAACTATGGCAGAGTTTAAGATGGAAAGGCGGCTTATGCGCAGATGCGGCTTATATGTCAGGAAGTAGGTCACTTTTGCAAAAGGCAAAGTCCCGAGTGACAGATGGTACGGCGTGCCTGAGTGGAACCTGATCCACACACAGTATATGTAGTACTGATAGCTCCTTTTGCCACTGAACTATAGAGGTCAACGCTTCCACTTGACTAAGTATTCCAAAACGCCCACAACGATTTAATCTGAGAAAACTACACACAAGACAAGAAATATCGAATAATAGCACGTAACTGTCCTTGCAATGGAGAGGGCGTGTGAGGGGACGTCGATCGCAGCTAGGGCGGCCTTTCCATGAGTAGACTAGGCTAGACTGACGGCAACCTCAAACTGCAACGAATGGCAGGAAAGGCTGCCCTGACTGCGACAAGTCGATCTCGTTCTTGTCCTTCCTCTGATCGAAGCTTTAGCTGTGCATCTTATGGCACAATTTCCTTTACCAGTAACTGTAAAAACAAACAGGTCGGGGCTAACGACCTCGAAAGGGACACTTGAAGGACTCGTCGTGCAAAATTAGAAATAACGCCCATAAAAAAGGGAAGTCCTTCGATCTGGTTCAGCAACCCTGAAGCTTCCCACGCATAAGCAAAAGCCCTGAGTCCTGCTGTGGGGAAACCATTTTAATAGCAAGTCCCAAATGCCTCCTCCCCCTCCCATCAAAGTATTAGGTTATTAGCGCCAACGTTTCTGTCAAATATCGCTGTCTTTAATTCTACTAAACTTACGTAGTTACACTATATTTTACTGTTTCATCACGTCACATTCAGTGTCGATTGATCAAATCGATCCGTGTGACGCCAAATTGACTATTTGGCTGGATTGATTTTGATTTTTTTACTGCTTTGTTGCTCCCGGCCTTCTTTCGCGAGCGAAAGATGGATGGATGACTGGAAGGAACGACGATTCCCCTATAGCACGGTATTTGAAACAGCAACAAAGGCACATCTTGAGTGGCATTTGAATCTCAAAAGAAATGACTCACTCAACACCCTTCTCCTAAGTGATTGTCTAGTCTACCTTCAATACTAGTATAATTCCGTGCATGTTGAAATTGTGAAGAAAAAAAATTCGAGCCGGGAAACACAAGCTGAGGTTGCGCATTCAGAGATGAAAAGAGGGCTCGTCACTAGAAACAATAAGACCCACTAAGAGAAGAAGAAGTATATAAGCTGTGTCGAAGTAGTCGAAGGGATCAGAAACGGGACTACAATGATTACTGTTAAACATGAAAAGTAACGACCATCGGCTCTATTCAATCAAATCTAATTGGTGGCATTAAAGTAAAAACGCACATTTCAAGCAGAATGTATTGCGTAATAGGTGGAAGGACAGCTTTTACTGCGATGCGGCTTATACGTTAGGTCCAGTACCATCCCTTTGAAACTCACACGCAGACACAGCCATGGGGCGTCGTCTCTTATGCTCAGGTGGATGCGCTTGAGGACCGTTCACTCGAAGACAAGCCACCTTCGTGTATACTGGCCTTAGTGATGTGTGGAGTGCATGGATCCGGAGATGCACTAGCGTGCAACTTCAAAAGTGCACGGGAGCGGGCGAGAGGGTAGTGATACCGTAGGTGCAGTCCTCGTGGACCGCCGACGCTCCGCCAGGGCACAGCATTCGATGGGGATTTCGGTCGAGGCCTGTACGACCCCGACCCTTTTTTTTTGGGTTTCGGTAACGACCCCCCCCCCCTTTTTTTGCCGTTCGGTTTTTTTCGCCTTAAATGAAACTATGAAACCCCACTATGAAATTCTACTTGTATGAAGGTGCCCATACTAAATGGACGACTTGAAGTCATGACATAAATAGAACAATACAGAGATTGCAAACAAAAAACGGTACAATCGTATTATGAGAAACTCGTATGATGAACTTCTTCGATGGACGTTTTGAAACACACATGGTAATAATAACGATATATCGCGATTAAATTCAATGAGCATTCGTTAACCCGACGTGAACTCCCTCTCTGGGAGCGGCCATCAGCGACCGCAGTGTTAACAAGCTCTATTCCCAAGATTGAGGACAAGGAAAAAAGAAAGTTAGGCTTGTCTCACTACGTAACAGTTATACAAACCGCCGTCAAAATGCGTTACCCCCGATTATTGGAGTACGGTAGCAGAAGCGCATGTAATTGCGGCTGTGACAGGAGATTATTCGTCAATTTTAGCCATGGAGCGAGAATTTCCAGCTGAGTTAGGTGTCTTTGAAGGACCATAACTTCCTCAAAGCGGGCCTGTGGGGAAGAGGAGACTGTACTCGTGTAGTGGAAGGTTTGCACTTCCTAAAAGTACTAAAACGTTTATGAACGTCGCAAAAATCACAGAGAAATCTGCCATAGGGATTCGTTGGGGAGTGGTTTCAACCGAACAGGTTTGAATCAATATATTTTTTTTTGTAACTCAACATTTCACAAATCTGAAAATGGTTTCGAGTGTTTGAAGATTTTCTCTTTCT